CTGGAACTCCCCGTCTCGCCCGAACTTCCCGGCTCCGGGAACAAACCTTTGTCAAATAGGCTCTCTCGAAGTCCGCTACCTCGACGGGAGTACACTTCCCGGGTGCCTTGTGTGTTATACAAAGCCCAATCATCCTGCGCCTGGGTCTTCCGCGGGCCCCAATGCGAAGGGGTTGGAGGCGGCCAAGACAGGTGCGCAGGTAAGCGGGGAAACGTTCCCCCCACGGCACCCTCCAGCGAGGCTGCAGTCGTAGACACCAAAGGAGCGGAGGTAGGTGGGACTGATCCCGAGTCCCCCTCCGTTTTGAGTAGATCTCCCTCAGTCCCGCTCATGATCTTGCCAGATTCGGAACGATAGGAGAAAGAGAGTTCTAACAATATGTTGGATCCCCAAGCATCGAGAATAAATCCACGTTTTCAAGAAAAGCAAAATTTATTTCAAAGCGTTGGAAAGACACTCAAACACGTTCTTTGTTAGAACTGGGGATACACAGGTAGGGCAAGCATAATAAAGGAAATTCAAACAGACACAGATCCAATGAATAACATTCCCGCTGGCGGGCTAAAGAAACGGTTGCGCGCCCAGTCCATGAGAACCAGGCAGAACATCAGACAAAACACAGGTGCAGTTCCCAAGCGATAATCAGTGGCAAGCATTACAGCATCCTCTCCTCCACAAACCCTCCAGTAGATTATCTTAGGCATTCCAGCATAGAAGCAGAATAACAAGCCGGGTGCAACAGGGGAAGGATATGTACACAGAGGTCATAGAAACATAATGGCAGCTTGCTGACACCAACCCAATGAAGTGTAAAAACCTGTTAGGGAGTATTTCTCATTGGTCAATCCAACCCAAAAGTAGAATTTCTTCTTTCTAATTTGGATAGTAATGTCACTGGATGTGTGGCTCCCTTAGCTTTGGTGGCAGCACACGTACATCAGCAATTCTTTGAAATTAACATTGTGAATTATTTCAGTTACAAATGCATATTGGTCTGTATGACTTGAAGTCTAAACAAAGTCTAAAGAAATAAAATTTTATTGTACGACAGTCTTAACAATTTTAGGGGGGAAAGCCTGTCCCAAAATATAGTAAAGCAGCACTGCAAAGACATTAATTAGATCAGGGGTCCCTCATCTAGTATGGAGTTTTGGGGACGGAGAATGGATACCAATCACAAAATGGCTGCCATGGGGTACTGGGGCCAATCACAACATGTTGGGAGGTTGCAAGACGGTCATTCTCCTATGATGCTACTTCTGAATGGGTGCTCTCTGCAGAATCCTCCTGGTTCTTCTGAAGCACCTCCTGCTCCACTGAAGTGGAAGAAAACCAGGAGTGTCCATTTGCTTTGGGGAAGAGAATCTCTTAGGAAGAAGCAAATGAGCACTGAAAAACCCATTGGCGGGTGGTGTGGTGCACATAAGCACCATGTTGCAGATCACTGTTGGCGCACATAAACACCATGTTGGCAGAACTTTTCAGTTAGGAACCAAGTAACCAGTAGTACCAGCCAATTACCTCTATACCTTAGAACAGAAGTGTCAAATTCATTTGTCGCGAGAGCTGGATCTGACACAAATGTGACTTTGTCGGGCCAGGCCGGGCCATGCGTGCCATAAAACATAATATCAGGTACTGGAGATATAAACTTTATAAAGGACAGCAGTTGGTAAGCTCTGAGTTGGTGTGTCCTCGCCACAAGGCCCCATGGGCGGGGGGGGGGTCGTGCAGAGGAAGACCCGCAGGGGCAGACTGGAGAGCCAGTGGTGCAGCACTGGGTAGATGCTCCCACAGTGCCTGGAGGTGGGGCAGACCCCTTCCCCAGCCTGCTTCCTCACACCAGTTGCTCGCGGGCCGGATAAGAGCCCCGGATGGGCCGGTTCCAGCCTCCGGGCCTTATGTTTGACACCCCTTCCTTAGAATTTCCCAGATGCCTCAGAGCATTTATTTTGGTCCTTTTCAACATTCTGCCTGGAGCTCTGCTGCAAGGCAAACATCTAGATATCCCTCATTCCCACTGTTTATGTTTTTGCCAGCTGAATACCGTGGAAACATTTGAACACGTATTACTTCACTATCATTTTATAAGGATATTCATTCCCTTCATATTTTTTTGTTGTTCAGTCGCACAGTCGAGTCCGACTCTTTGCGACCCCATGGACCAGATCACACCAGGTCCTCCTGTCTTCCGCCGTCCTCTGAAGTTTGCTCAATTTCATGTTCGTTGCATCTATGACACTGTCTAACCATCTCATCCTTTGCCGTCCCCGTCTTCTTTGACCTTCAGTCTTTCCCAGCATCAGGGTCTTCTCCAGTGAGTGCTCCCTTCTCATTGGGTGGCCAAAGTATTTGAGCTTCAGTTTCATTATCTGGCCTTCCAGGGAACAGTCAGGGTTGATTTCTTTTAGGATTGACTGATTTGATCTTCTTGCAGTCCAAGGGACTCTCAAGAGTCTTCTCCAGCACCATAGTTCAAAAGAATCCATTCTTCGCGTTCGGCCTTCCTTATAGTTCAACTCTCGCAGCCATACATGACTACCGGGAATACCATTGCTTTGACCATGCGGACTTTTGTTGGCAGGGTGATGTTTCTACTTTTTATCATGCTGTTTAGGTTTGCCATCGCTTTCCTCCCAAAGAGCAGGCGTCTTTTAATTTCATGGCTGCTGTCACAGTCTGTGGTGATCTGGGATCCCAGGAACGTGAAGTCTGTCACCACTTCCACGACTTCCCCTTCTATTTGCCAAGGAGTGATGGGCCGGATGCCATGATCTTAGTTTTTTTGATGTTGAGCTTCAAGCCCACTTTTGCGCTCTCCTCTTTTACCCTGAGCAAGAGGCTCTTAAGGTCCTCTTCACTTTCTGCCATTAGAGTGGTATCGTCTGCATATCTGAGGTTGTTGATCTTTTCCCCAGCAATCTTAATTCCCGCTTGTGATTCATCCAGGCCAGCATTTCGCATGATGTACTCTGCATATATATTAAATAAGCAAGGTGACAATATACATCCTTGTCGTACTCCTTTTCCTATGCGAAACCAATCAGTTGTTCCATTTATCTAAGTTCCCAGACAGATCTTATAAATTTTACGCAGCCACTCTCCTTGCAGATTGCCTCCATGAAATTGCACATAACGTAGCCAAATTTTGCACTTTGGCTCAGCTGCTAAGGAAGCAGATGCTTCAGTCCTTTTCATTAACTGCTTTGTCTTACTAAAATTAGCACTTAAGTTCAGAATTTTAACTGTTTTCGTGTTTTATTTATGTTCAGCTTGTGCCCTTATGTTGTAGCTCGTTAGGAAAACAACCATGATATAATAACGAAGTCGTGGTTTAAACAATTAGAGAAAAATATTTTTCTGTGTCCTGTGTATAACAAATCATTGAAGTTGTTTCCTTTACAAAACATTAAAGTTGTTCCCTTTGACGTGCATGGTCTCAAATATCTTAATGACGGTGCAGTGTCACTGAAAAATATATCCAAAATTACATCCATTTTCTAACTTCACGACATAGAAACTTAAAAAAAAACTTTTAGTCTGAATACACCCTAAAACAGAAAACTAGATTTATTGCAGAGAAATTTAGTCTTTGCAAAATGTACCAAAAGGAGAAACTCGCCCTTTCATATTTTCACTGCAACTTAACGCTCTCTCTGTTAATCTAGCTCACGCCGTTTTGCTATGAGTGCAGCGGCTGTATGCTGTCCTTAAAAAATCCTCCCGCCAAACTGCTTCAGGTGCATTCTATTTACGTTGGCTGATCTTGGATCATAATAAATGAAATGAATGAGCGTCTGGTGGGGCAGTTCAAAAAAAGGCTTAGTGGAAGAAAAGAAAGTGAAGGAAGCAAAGGGGCTTGACAGACGGGACAGCGGAAGTGATTCCGGGCACCCCGAGCAACCTGGCTAAAGGGGAACAAGGCAGCTGGAAGCAAACGAGCAGCTTGCCTCGTTCTCGGGCGCTCAGCCTGTGTGTCTGGACTGGACTGTTTCACACTGGAGATGTGAGAGGGCTCCTCGTGTGATTGAACCTCTTCTCTGATTGGGGGGGGACATAGGAAACCAGCATATTGGGGGAGCTGGCTAAATTAGACTCGTGCTTCTCAACAGGCTAGTTTTCAGTGCGGAAGGCATTCCTTGGCAAGGAGCACTCAGTGACGTGAGCCCCCACCAGTAGTCACACCCCCTGTCGTATTTGGTAGTAACAGTTGTAATAGAAGAAGAGAAGAGATTGGATTTATACCCCACCCTTCACCACCCAAAGGTGTCTCAGAGCGGCTTACAGACTCCTTTCCAGATTCCATGCCATTCCTTCAATGGTCTGTGTTGGTCGTTTTATGGGTTTACCTGTTGCCTTAAGAATCTGTCAATGTGGTTTGGGCGAAGTGGATGATATTGAGCACTATTTACTGAGATGCTCATGGCACGAATCACTTAGGCAGAGATTTATATACCCTATTTTACCTTTGCACAATGGATTCTCAAAACAGGAGTTGGTTGTGTTTTGCTCTCTGATATGGATGTATATGTTACCAGCAGAATGTCCCTGTTTGCTTTGGCAGCAAAAAAGATAAGATTAAGCCTAGGATTCAGCGCAAGTTAGTGAAGGTATAACTTAATGTGATGTATACGGATTGTGTTTGTATTTATGTTTTGTTATGGCCAATGGCTAATACAATAAACTTGATGATGATGACTCCTTTCCCTCCCCCTCCCCACAACAGACACCCTGTGAGGTAGGTGGGGCTGAGAGAGCTCTTGACAGAAACTGCTCTTTTTCAAGAACAGCTCTTGTCAGAGCTACGGCTTGCCCAAGGTCATCCAGCCAGGTGGAAGTGGAGGAGTGGGGAATCAAACCCGGTTCTCCCAGATTAGAGTCCGCGCACTTAACCACTACACCAAACTGGCCAGTAATGGCAGTACTGTTACCACTTCTGTAACCATGCCCTTGGCAACAGCCGGGTTGTGATCATTTTCATTTTCCTCTCTCGTGCTCAGGTCCTTCACAGTGCAACCCAGAATTACCGGTGCATTGACTCCTACTATCACACTCAAGATAACTCCTTGCTGTTAGTCCTCCATAATCCCATGGACCGACGTCTTCAGTTTCAAGAGTCCTGGAATGTGGCATTGCACTCCGACGTTGGTTTCAGGTAAAAGGTTCCTCAGAGGGTGCCTCCGAACGCCGTGGGGCCTGTAGAAATGAAACATACCCCATGAATAAGGAGGTGGAAATGAATGATGATTGACTTTTGACGATGTCGTCGTGCTGAGAGACACGTGGTGAAGGTTGTGCTTGGCCAAACATGGTAGAAGAATACGGAGGGCCAGTGGCACGGCCAGCAACTTGGGTCTTCCCTCAGACCCCTCTGGTGGCTGTGCAGGTCCCGGAGGGCGACAAGGGGCATAAGCTGTGGTGCTACAGCCATTTCTATAGCAACATGCAGCATCGAGAAGACTTCTGTTATCATATATGGTTATAAGAACTTTTTAACGATTCAAGAAGGTGGGAAAGGGTAATTAACATATTTTAAGGGGAGCCCTGCTGGATAAGACCAAAGCTCTTCTAGTCTAGCAGCTTAATTCCAACAGTGACCAGCTTAGGGTTGCCTGATGGAACAACTTACTAGTGGTGGAGTCCTTTCCGGTGATGCAATGACATTGATGTGCTGACATCACTCCCTGTGTCCCTGAAAGTGATGTTAGCATGACACCAGGGACACTCTGGCATTTGGGACAAACTCTTGTTACCACCAGTGGCCTGTCTTCTTGTTGGGGGAAGTTAGCTATGAGACAGGGAAAGCCAGAGGGGTACCTGGGACCACACACCTATATATACCAAGGTCCAGTTCAGTAGGAAGACTCCAGATTGAAAGAGTGATTAAATAGTTTTATTAAAGAATTTCCCCGGTTACAGTCACACTAAGCAGTCAAGAAAGAGCATGCAATTCAGAACTAAGAAAAACAGAGGAGGATATGATAGCAATGATAGCAATGCCCATTGATGGTCCTACCAGAGCTGGCTAAATGGGTTTGATGACCATTGATGGTCCTACCAAGGTAGGTTGAATGGGTTCCCAGGCTTAGGCAAAAAGGGGGAAATGGGTCTCTGATTGGCGTCAGGAAGGATCACTGATGAAATTAATGTTTGATTAGTTTATCTTGGTATCCTGAGGGAGGGGACAGGAAGGACAGGTGCTGTGACAAAATAGGCATAGGTATCACAAAAGGGGGAATACGTGAAAGTTTGAAGACAGAGGAGGATTGCCAGGTGGCTACTGAATAGCTATGGAAATGCAGTTAACTTTACCTGGAGGAACTTGCACTTATTTCATATGCGTACCTTTGCTGGCTGGAAGGGGGAGACTGGAGATTGCTTCAAGGGATGCCTTGTGCAACCTGAAATTGAAACCCTTTTTGCAGAGCTTTGGCTAGATCTGTGGCACAGGTCAAGAGTGTCCTCTTTGACCTGACTTTGTGGGTCTCCGGTTCATGTCCAAAGTGGGGTGGCCCACAAGTAAGACTCTGTGGTTAAGCCATAGAGTTTTACCCTGTCTGTGTCTGGGGGGGGCCCTCCCTCCGCCATGTCAGGGTCTTCCCTTGACCTCTCCAGGCAGTGGAGTCCTCCGCAGGCCTCAGATAGGCTGGATACAAGCGGGGAGGAGGTTTACAGCACCCTCTTGGAGCCTTCCCAAACAGTCCAATTTATTGGGTCCATCAGCTCACACGACAGATGCATCTCTGTTGGGCTGGGGCCCCATTTTGGAGGTCTAAGGACTCAAGGGAGACGGCCTCTGTCCCATAAAAGATTTCATATTAATATGTTGGGATTACGCCCAGTTACCCTAACATCTTTCGCAGATATCTTGAAAGGGAAGAATGTGTTGGTTCAAACAGACAGTTCTTCCACAATGTTCTCCATCAACGAGCAGGGTGGTACTGGTTCCCTACCACTCTGTCGGGAGGCACAGGCTCTTTGGGAAACAGCTCTACAGATTCAAACAATACCTCAAGCTATCCCTATAGCGGACAGTCAGAATTCAGAGGCCGACAGGCTGAGCAGGTGCCTCGGCAGCACATACCGTATCAATTTATCAATACGGGATAAATACCTTTTTAAAGGTAAAGGTTCCCTTGCTCGAAAGCCAGTTGAATCCGGCTCTAGGGTTACGGTGCTCATCTCCGTTTCAAAGCCGAAGAGCCAGCGCTGTCCGAAGAAAGTTCCATGGTCATGTGGCCGGCATGACTAAACACCAAGGCGCACGGAACGCTGTTACCTTCCCACCGAAGCGGTACCTATTTATCTACTTGCAATTTCTTGCTTTCGAACTGCTAGGTTGGCAGGAGCTGGAACTAGAGGCGGGAGCTCACTCCGTCTTGCGGCACCCGGGTCTCGAACTGCTGAACTACCGACCTTCCACAGCCTGCGGCAGTTCAGCGTCTTAACCACTTGAGCCACCGCAGCTCCCTTTTACCTTTTACCAATATTCAAAACGTGGGGTTTCTCAAAGGTGTACCTATTTACCACTGCTCAGTCCACAAAGGCCCCAATGTTTTGTTCATGGGGTGGGAGAGACGAGCACTAGATTGGAGATGCTTTTCAGTTCAGTTAGAGACCCTTTACTATGTGTCCCCACCTTTCCCCACATTTGGCAGAACCCGAGCTATTCTCATTGCCCCATTCTCCCAGATTTGGTATGCATGGTCAAGGGAAACTATATATCTCCCCCGCAGGCACAAGACCTACAGACACAAGGGCAACTGTGGCACCACAGTGTAGACGGACTACATCTCACATCTTGGAGGTTCAGTCCTTAGATCAGTCGTTCTCCAATGAGGTTATAAAAGTATTATTACAGGCCAGAAAACCATCTTACTGTCAGAAATGGAACAGTTTCCAAACTTGGGTCCTGGATGAAGGAGACTGTCTGTTTATCTGCCTGTTAGCTGTGATATTAGATTATTTGTTCTCCTCGGCTCAAACAGGTCTTTCAATAACATCTATTAGAGTACACTCAGCAGCAATTTCAGCCTTCCATGGTGACGCGCAGGGTCACTTAGTGTTATCTGCTAAGTCAGCGGTTCTCGACCTGTGGGTCGCAACCCCTTTGGGGGTCGAACGACCCTTTCACAGGGAAAACACAAATTGTCGATGGTCTTATTGTTTTTGTGATTAATCACTATGCTTTCATTATGTTCAATTTGTAACAATGAAAATACATCCTGCATATCAGATATTTACATCACGATTCATAACAGTAGCAAAACTACAGTTATGAAGTAGCAACGAAAATAATTTTATGGTTGGGGGTCACCACAACACGAGGAACTGTATTAAAGGGTCGCAGCATTAGGAAGGTTGAGAACCACTGTGCTAAATTGTCCCAGTGTTTTCTAAAAGGCCTATGAAATACATTTCCTCCAGTCCTGTACGTAGCTCCACAATGGTCCCTGTCTTTAGTATTGTCTTCTCTAAAGAAGCCTCCTTTTGAACTTCTAGCCACATGTTCTTTAGCTTACCTGTCATGGCAGGCGGCATCCTCATACTTCTATGAGGAGAGTAAGTGGACTGTCAGCCTTGAGAATGGACTCACCAGTAAGTGTACAATTAACAAAATTTAAAAACTATTTATCCTATCCTTCTGCACAGTAAGATCCATCAAACTCAGAGTTGCAAAATTACTCAGCTGTCAGAGTTGCAAAATTACTTCACGGCATCGATAAGGAAGACATTTTTATAATTAAAAAAATAAGTCATAAAATGCGAACAAAACGTTTACTATTTCTGCATGAAATATTGTAATTGTTGGTAACGAGAAAAACTTGATAATCCCCCCCCCCAGGAATTATTTGGAATTGGTAGCTGGCTCTATCGGCGAGTGGATACTTCAAGAAGAAGTCAAATACCAGGAAGAAAAAATGGCGAAGGAACTGGAAGCACTTGCGTTAGCGAAAGAGATGGCGGAAAAACCTCCAGTTGAAACCAAGTCTCCGCCGTCCGGAAGAAAAGGTTCTTCCATTTCTAAGAGAAGCAAAGGTAGGTCCTCTTGCTTCTTTGCATTCTCGCTGTGTATCATTGTATAGCACAGTTCTGCGATGCACTTCTCCCAGGAGGGAGGTCATCCCGCTCCGTGGGCCAGAGGACATCCCGCTCCGTGGGCCGGAGAACATTTCCCCTCGAGACAGACACAGCACTCGCAATCTCAAAGAAAAAAAGTTGGGTTGGATCGGTGCGATTGCTGCTAGCATCATCAGCTGTCACACCAGTGACAAAAAATAAACATGAACATACAGAGTGTTTCTCAAGCTCAAATCCCAAGATTCACAGGAGGCTGTCTCTCTTTGACCCAATCCTTTAACTCAGGAGTCCTCAAACTTTTTAAACAGGGGGCCAGTTCACTGTCCCTCAGACCATTGGAGGGCCGGGGGTGGGGGCCGGGGGTGTCGCGGCGCGGAACTGAGAAGAGGACCACATCATGTGCTGATTGACTTGAGCCCTGATTGACTTGGGCCCTGAGTGCGGTGCACATTCCACACATGCTCACTGCGGGCCCAGGACGAGTCGGCTGCTAAGCAGGACAGGCAGCGGCGGCAAAAACACCCGGCGGGCCGGATAAATGTTTTCGGTGGGCCGCATGTGGCCCACGGGCCGTAGTTTGAGGACCCCTGCTTTAACTGTTGGGAGTGAGGGGACTCAGCATCCCTGGGCGTGGCCGGGGAGGAAGGGGGCGCTGCATCACTCTAAGGGAGTGGTCCTGTAAAGTAATACAGAAATTTTGGTCACAAATATGTACCAGTACCAACAATTTACTAAACATAGACTTACCTTTGTCACCGGAGTTGATGCTTCTCCGTCTCCGGCCGCAAGTTCGTCCACCTGAAGACACAAAGAAGTTAGTCAACCTGTTGGTAGTAGCAGCGAAGATAACTATAGCTAAGAACTGGAAAAGCAAAAATGCACCGACTATAGCTCAATGGATTAATAAAATTTGGGACATATTCATGTTAGAAAACATTTCAATATATGACACGGAAACAAAAACCGAGCGTGAGTTCTATAACCCTCTGAATATTTGGAATCCTATCTTAGGGAAGATAGTGCTAGAAAACTTCGAATGGGAAAGCATAGTTGAGGCAAAATATAAGATAATGTTATACAGTTGATATGGTGGTAGTCAATATTACTGGCTTCCAAAAGAAGGGGGAGGGTAGATAGGTATACATTGTTCGACCACTGTTTGTTGCGTGTGTTAAATGGGGTCTGGATATAGTGTATTAATCTCTGAATTGGATGCTTGTTAATGTTACGTATTGTATTTTATGGTTTTGAAAAGTTTTCAATAAAAATATCAAAAAAAAAAATCACTCTAAGGGAGTCTAGGTGTTCTCTCCTTGGATAGGATGCCTCTCTTTGTCTTAACCTGGGAGCTGCCCTCTGACCCCCTCCTCTCTCTTTTTGTCCTCTTACTTCCCATGGCCTTCCATGGAGATGCTTGTCTCTGCAGGTCTCTCTGTAGAGACAGTGCCCTCATACTCCCACGTATATGATGCCGGACAAGCTGGCCGTTTGTGATGGGGGAAGCACTCTTTAGATTAGGCCCCTTTTCTCTTCTTTCGACTGCAACCTGATCTACTTAAATAAATGTAAATTTACCTTTTTTGCCATATACTTCTTGGAAGATTTATTTACTGGACTCAGTATCACAAACTCTCGGCAAACTCTGCCATAATAACCAAATATCCCAATCTTACTTTCACACAGTTCTATCACATCGGATGTTCGAGCTTGTTCGATTCGTTAAAAAATTCAGAGAACCTCTAGTGGGGCACGGAGTTCCCCTGGAATTAGAACTGATCTCTAGACAACAGAGGTCATTTGCTGTAGAGGAAGCGGTAGCTTGGCGGGATAGACATCACTTCCTGTCTAAACTCCGTCCCCTCCCCAAACTCTATTTTCCATAGGCAGTGCCCCCAAACTTCCCGGAATTTCCCAAGCTGGAGTTGGCAACCATACGTAAAACTTTGATAGCATGTCTAAACTGGCCTTCATATAGGTAGGCAGAGAGTCAACCCACAGGCACAATCTCAGGTTGTGGTCACATGGTCATTTTGATTGGGTTTCACCACTGTTTCCCATCGCATTTAAAAGTGCTGATCAGACAGCCGGATCCGGATCCTGTATCGAAGTGGACTCGCCCCCACAATCCACCCGGTTTTCTAGCGCGTTTTCCAACACCGGGAAAATAGAGTACTTTCCTACTATTTGTGCTGTGAATCCGCAATTTCGCCTATCTGGACAGTCATCTTTCGGTATCAATGCGATTAGGTCATCTGGATGTCGTTCTTGTGTGTGTGTTTTTCCATCTTTCACCGTTGTGCGCATGATCAATCCTGTGCTGAGTCGATTAAGCGCATGAACGCTCAAGCGCATATATATAGACCAGCACTCGGTTGCATATTTATTATGAAGGGTAAATCAGAAATGTACTTTCAGAGGCAGAAGGTAACAAAACAGGAGGAAAAAAAATACAGTCTGTTAATTTACTTGGCATGAATCGCTTGCCATGAATGCAAGAACATTAGTAGTCAATCCACACTTCCTGAAGTTTGGCAATGCAAAAGCCTTTCACCGACCCAGCCGTCACTTTCTGTTACCTGTTTTCCAGTCTTCTTTATTCTTTCTTCCATTCTCAAAGGTGCTAAAAGTAAAGTGGAGATTTCTCCAGAGCCTCTCCCGGAGAAGGAAAAAAGCCTTTTCGTCAGAGAGGACTCTCTCAAGGTAAGGCAAGAAGAGCCCCAGTTTCGTTAATTCTGCGAAACATGTTCCGCTAGCGTGTCTTGTGTATTTGGTACCTAAGCAGATGTCCAGATCCACACTCCTGCAGTGGCAACAGCAGCATGAGGAATAAAAACGATGCTTGCATAGCCACATGCACAGAGGGACCCCTGACCAGGGCCAGCTCGAGGTGTTTCTGTGCCCTCGGTGAGGCTGCCTTGTGGTGCAGATGCCAACCTCCCGGTGGGGCCTGGAGACCTCTGGAGCCAGGCACCCTTTTGCTACTGCCTCCCTCGCCTCCCCCCCACACAGCTGTCAGACCCAGCGAGCACGCCCCACATGTTCCTGCAGCGCTCTCCAAGATGGAAGAGAGATTTCTCTCGTGCTCCGCTTCCGAAGGCAGTTTGGGAGGGAGGTGGGGGGATCCTTTCTCCAGGCGGGGGATGCTCACCGGATGCCTCTCCCCAATTAGCAAAGTGCTGACACTTAAAGAGCTGCTTGCGGGCTTTTGGTGGCGGGGGGGGGGGGAGGCACAGCTCGGCGCCCCATTCAGGGCCCAGCACTCTAGGCGAATGCCTAGTTCGCCTAGTGGGTGAGCCGGCCCTGCCCCTGACGATTTCCATTGCAGCCTCCATAGGATGGGCAAAATCCAGTTCTCAGACGTGACCTCAGATGCCTTTTCTGAACTAAGAAGGGTAGAGACGAGGTGATAAATGGCAAGCGCTCCAATGGTGCAACAGGCTTTCCTAAGAAAAGGGGTTGGCATCAGAGACACGAACAGTTAGGGCCGGTCAAGGCAACAAAGTACACCAGCCACGGTGCCGTGAGTAGGTCCAGCCTCATTCCGGAATCCTTCCCTCCCCTGCATAGGTTTGTAGGCTGGCACTGCAGGACCATCTGTTTGAGTCTGCACCACCAGCACAGAATGCAGCCAGAGGTCCTTTCTTCAAAGTAGAAGGCATCATGATAAAATCACAGTATTTTAAAAATAAATAAATGATAAAATCACAGCGAAGACCCCCGCCCCACGCCCACACACAATTCTTTGTTCTGCAAATGTATGCTTTGATTTGTACCCCACCTTCCTTCCCCGTGGGGATTCAGAAAAGTCTTTCTTTGTTCTCTCTTCCACTTTGTCCTCATAACAACCCTGTGAGGTAGGTTAGCCCGGAGCTTCCGTGGCAGCGGGGGGAGCGGAACCTGGGTGTCCCAGATCCTCTCGAGCGGGGCGCTGGCGAAGGCCAGTGAATCAGTGAAGAAGCCTGACCTATCCGGCTGTGTCCAGCAATGGAATGTTTTTCGTTTTGATTTGTTGTTCGCTGCCTTCCTCGTCGTAGACCAAATTATATTAATCATGGAGGCCTCTGTGGGTTTCTCTGCAACAAACTAATGCAGGTGCTCCTCTAGACTTACCTGGATACAACTGAAATACTCATGCAGTTCCCATTAAGTCATGCTTCTTTAGGGTTGCCAGTTCTGGCTGACAAGCCAGTGGGGGATTTACCAGGAGGCTCCGGGAGAGGGGAGGGGAGAAACACAACATCCCCTAGGGAAATCGCCATCTGGATCTTTTTGTCTTCACTAAAATTTTTACTAATGTTATGTATAAATTTCAACAACAACAACAACAACAACAACAACAACAATAATAATAATAATAATAATAATAATAATAATAATTCTTCTACCATAGAGTTTTGCCCAAAAACCAGTGCCCCCCCCCCGATATCACCAACATGCCTATGTCACTTTTGGGTGACGTGGGCACTTTGTTGTTTTTGGGGGGTAATTCCCCGCAGAGAGGAGCACCCCACTGCCATTTCCCCCTGCTTTCTGACAGCACTGAAGCAGGGGAGGGGCTCCAAACTGGGGCATCCCCCTCCCCCACCTAGGGAATGGCAACCCTATGCTTCCTTCAGTAGGAATGCCTGCAATGGATTGAATCCAGTGGGAAATTTCCCCTCCCCGTTTCAGATCTCTAACCTCCCCTTGTGCTGTTAATGGAGTCCTCCTGGCTTCCATGAGCACTCTTTGGGGGGGGGAGACATTTCGGGCTGCAGCAGGAGAGGGCAGGAAGGAAGTCCCATTCTGCTGACACCCTTCCTTTAGCTGAGATTTTCCATGGGATCCAAGCCCATCTTATTTCCTGAAACTAATTACATTCACGTGCCCTAATATGTAAAGTTACTTAAAAAAAAACCAGGGAAACTTTTAGACAGAACCATGAAGTGTAGACACCTCAAAGCAGCAATTACTTATTTCTACAATGGGCTTTTCCACATTCTCATTTTACTTGCTGTTAAGTTCCTGTTTCTTCGGAGTGGAGTTCCTGTACTGCACATTCTTTGCTCCCTCTAGTAGTCAATTTGATATTGGAGATAAGCTAGGGGGGAAACCCTGAAGAAACGGGAACTTGACATTGAGTAAAGGAGAATGCGGAGAAACCCAATGAAACAGAAGGCGAATTAACTGAATTTTCAAAAAACCTTTATACAGGCGTGGAAGGAAGAGCAGGAACGGCTGCTGGAAGAAGAACGGCTGAGAGAACTCAAAAAAGCCGAGAAGAAGGAAAAAGCCAGTAGCAAAAAAAAAGGCCAGGGTAAGGAAGCAGCCCCTGAAGAAGGGAAGTCTCCTAAGAACAAGTTGTCCAGGGATAAATCTAAATCACCCTCTAAATCTCCGGAGCTGAATAAGTCGCCGGAGGCTGAAGATCAGCCAAAGCTGCAGAAGTACAGTAAACAGATTATTCCACCTCTTCTTCCCCTGGCCAAGACTTACGAGGTAAGGCGACTCATGACTGCTCACTGGCCATTAGGAAGGGATGGATCTTTTTCGCATGGGGTGGGGGACCCAGGGCCTTCATTGGCTGCTGAGACTTGGACTTCCCCCCACAGTCAGGCTGATTTCGCACAAGGAGCTGCGCTGCCGTCACACCTCCCTTTGCCCCGTTTCCGCTGGTCAATTTCCCACTCAAAGCCACACGGACGCATTTTGACCCGCGGTTTCACCCGATTTTCCCCGCGGTTTCGTGATCCTCAAAAAACAGGATCATGAAGCCACGGGGGAAATCGGGCGAAGCCGTGGGTCAAAATGCGGCTTCGAGTGGGAAATTGACCAGTGGAAACAGGGCAAAGGGAGGCGCGATGGTGGCACAGCTCCTTGTGCAAAATCAGTCTCAGTCAGACTGTGTCCTAAATAGGGTTGGCAGTTCAGGGCTGGGAGAACCTGGAGGTCTTGGGGTTGTTGGAGCCTGGGGAGGGGAGGGTGTGGGGAGGGGAGGGGAGGGGACCTCAGTGGGGGATAATGCCATAGACTCCGCCCTCCAAAGCAGCCATTTTCTCCGGGGAAACTGATCTCGGTCATCTGGAGATCAGTTGTAATTCCAGCTCCGTAGGCCCAACCTGGAGGCTGGCAACCTCTCCAAAGGCTGTGAGCTAACTGCACGCACCATCCGAGTTATCTCTTCACACATTATGGAATACACGGGTTGGGCCTGGACCTCTAGACCTAACCTACAGACTCCCCTGTGAAAAGCTTCAAAGACAATGTGTTTGTGTTGGTCTCTGTCAGCTCTAGAACTGGGACTAGCTGTGTTTCAGCGCCGGAGGGAGTTCACAGCATCTCACCGTCTTATTTAAAAATATATATATATTGAATGAAAGGGGGACAAAACTAGTTGGCAACAGTGGCAAGTAACGAAAAACTCTGGTGAAACGATTGCTTGATTTTAGAACTGTACTGAGTACTTTTTCCTTTAAAATTTTTGGACACCAAATGGTGCTTCCGATACTCTTTAGCTGAAAGAATATTCGCGTTTATTGATCCCATTTGCTTCTGTTTTTTCCCAATGTGTTGCTGCCTCTGTACCATTTTATCTTCAGATTGCCCTTTCCCCCTTCTTCTTCCTAAATTAGTCACATAACCAATTCAAGCCAATTGGGGATCATATAGCGAAGGAGATATACCATTACACTTATGTAGCCAGTGTGGGCAAAGTCAACAGAGAGTGAGGGCAGTGGTTTGGATCCAGTTGTGATTTCCGCTAATGGGAGGGATTTTCTGCCAGTGGAATGGAACTTTCTCATCTCTCCTGCCCTGCTACAGCCCGAAGTGTTCCCCAGAGTTCTATTTCGGGGGCATAAACGTCACCTTGAGTTCAACAATATTAAAAATCGATAAAAGTTGGAGATCCCTTGGTGGCCTCCGCGACCAAATCCTTGATTAAAGGGAGGGGGTACGCGTTAGTAGTAGAGACTGCATTTAATCCCCTGTAGTCAGTGCATAAACGCAGCCCCCCATCCTTCTTCTTCCGGAAAAGGACCGGAGCGGCAAACGAGGACGAAGCAGGGCGGATGAAACCCCTGGCCAGGTTTTTATCGATGAACTTGCGTAACTCCAACTTTTCTGCCGGCCCCATGGCATAAATCCTCCCCTTGGGAAGTTTAGATCCTGGCAACAGTTCGATTCCGCAATCGGACTTGCGGTGCGGAGGTAGCTCGTCAGCCTCCTCCTCTCCAAAAACCTGTGCCAAGTCGTGATATTCGGGAGGCAGGGAAGCAAGCTCTTCTGCATTCAGCGAGGCACACGGGAAGTTTA